GCTGTATTTTGAAGACAGGACCAACAGGACTTGCTGACGGTTCGGATGGGGGGTGTGAGAGATGAGAGGGGTCAAAGATCACTCTTAAGACTTTGGTCCTGAGTAACGGGAAGGAGGGAGCCGCCATCAGTGGAAATGGTGAAAGCCAGGGCAGAACAGGTTTGAGGGAGATCAGGAGTTTTGTTTTGTTTTGTTTTGTTTTGTTTTGTTTGGCGGTACGCGGGCCTCTCACTGCTGTGGCCTCTCCCACCGCGGAGCACAGGCTCCGGACGCGCAGGCTCAGCGGCCATGGCTCACGGGGCCCAGCCGCTCCGCGGCATGTGGGATCTTCCCGGACCGGGGCACGAGCCCGCGTCCCCTGCATCGGCAGGTGGACTCTCAACCACTGCGCCACCAGGGAAGCCCAGGAGTTTGTTTTTGAAAACTTTATACTTAGAGGTCTGTTAGACACCCAAGAGAAAAAGCATATTTACTGGCTATTAACATTTACTGTATCTCCAATGTTTAGCAGAGCAACTAGCCCTCCAAATACAGCGGTTGAATGAAAGACAAGAAAAGTTATTCAAATACTAAGTGAAATAAGTGTCAGATGATCCCATTTTATTTTATTTATACCTGTGTGTATACATACACACACACACATATTTGCGTTAAGAAAAGGCACAGATATATACCAAAATATTAACAATAGTTATGTGGGATATGACCAAGTGATTTTAACCTAATCTCTTTCTCTTTCTGAGAATCTGTACAAAATCTCTATAAAACAGTTTATGTAAAAGGGAGACATGCTCTGAAAGGTGAGAAGACTATGATTCTAGCCCACTGTTAGATTCTAGGTTTTTTCAACCATTGCAGAGTTGATGAACCCTTGAATTGTTTACAGGTGGTGTTCTTTATCAATAGGAACACTGTGGACAGATTGTTCTTTTCTTTTGAAGTATTTCTTCATGATCTACTCCCCAAATTAGAAACAACGGACTGAAAGGTAGAAAGATTTGTAGCCCTTCTTAAACATTGCTAGATGGCTCTGCAGAAAAACTGAACCAATTTAGCATTCCAGCAGTGATAGAATGCTAGACAGTCTATCAGGAAAGATATCCCCTCCTACTAAGTCGGGATTTCATTTTCACACCAGAAAATTACTTAGCAGCCTTTCTTCACCTGCCATGAGGGCATAAAAAGTCTTCATGGAGGTCTTCCATATTTTTCAGGCGTAGGAATCGGCGTGGTCCACGCTGGCTACGAGAGACGCCTGGCCCATCACCTGGGAGCGCACAGCACACCAGCTATCCTAGGAATCATAAATGGAAAAATCTCATTCTTCCATAATGCAGTTGTCCGCGAGAACCTGCGACAGTTTGTAGAGAGTCTTCTTCCGGGGAACTTGGTGGAGAAAGTAAGTACCTGGCTGAGAAATAGTTTAAGAGGCTCCTGGGACTGCTGGCTGCCCTGAACTCTACCTGTGGGCATCCTCAGACCTGAGTCTCATTTGGGGCAGGGCAAGACACATGAATTAATTAATTACGGTAACTAAATCATTTACATGAAGTCTGCCAGAGGCTGAAAACTGAAACAGTTGAAGTAGAGAGACTGAAAGAATCCTTGTCAAAACCGCTGGGAGGACTTACGCTGTCACAGGAATCTGAGCCCACAGTGAGGGCACCTCTTCTTTTCTCAACAAAAAATTAGATCCCAACATGGGATGCAGGAGATCTTTCCAACTCAGGCATTTATTCGTTCAAAGATACTTTTCCTATGAGAGTACTCAAATTAAGTTACATTTGGTTATATATTTAACAGTCATATCTATTGAAAACACCAGATTCCATGAAATCAGATATTATTTTTGGAACTTTCAAAACATATAGCAATGCAACGGTATGAATAAATTTCACAAACAAAAGATTGAGCTAGAGAAACCAAGCGCAGAAATTCCCACAGACTATAAACTATGATTTTTATATTTAAGAAGCATTTTTCCCTCAGTATCTGAGGTTAGAGATCACGGGCACTAGAAGAAGATTCTTATGTTGCTTTAAATGAAAATGATTCATTCTTTTAATAAAATACCGAGGAGAGTGAACATACAGATACTTCCATCCTGTTCCTACGCAGCCTGTCCCACCAGGATCATTACCCACGGAAGAAATGTTTGTTGGAGTTGACTTGAAATTGTCAGAGAGCATTGCAGCCTCCTAAAATGATGATAGGTTGTCCTGACAGGTCCTCAAACCTTTTTAAAATGCCTGTTGTATGTCAGACATTCTGATAAGTGCTGAGGACACTTTCCAAGGAGCTCGCAGTCTAGTAGGTGATTGTTTCCATCCTATATGTAGAGTGCCCATCCTAGAGATTTGAGAAAGGCTTCCTGGCAGAAATGACCCCTGTACTGAGTTTGCCAGGTGAGGAGAGAAAAGAAGGGAATGAGTTCCAGGCATACAGAGGTAGCCTGCTTTGTATGAAGTCGTCATTAGTGAGTGGGAGAAGACAAGACTAAAGGGGTTAATGGGAATCTCACTGTGAGGGTCTCCTTTGAGGAACTTGGACTTGGCCTGCAGGTGATGGAGCCATTGAAAGGGGCTGAGCAGTGGGGTGAAATGATGAGATTGAGGTTTTATATAGATCATTCCGGAAGCAAAGTGGAAAGATAAACCTTTTTGAACTACTATGAACATTTTCTAGATAGAAATTTATTCAAGTTTTTCATTTGTTTTCTTGGGATTATTTTAAGGCATAAACAGGGAAACACAGAAGTAGCAATTCAGATGGCAGTGAATGAACTTATGTATGGGGGGGTGGGCCCACTTATTTTTATTTAAGCCATTTTAAAAGAGCAGTTGTTGCATTATCTTCTAATAGATTAACAAGTACAGTCTATAACTGAGCAAGAACCAACTTTGAAAGCTCATTTTTTTTATAATATGGTCAGTAATTGTTTCAGAAAAGATTATGATTTCAGTCTGTAAGGGTTGGATCACATGAAAATATGAAATCAACATCTCTGTTCTTTTAATTAATTTTAGTCAAATAAAGGCAAAAAATTAGTTGTCTGCATTCTTTATTTTTTACAAAACAATCTTTTGCACATATTTGATTTTGTTTAATTATCTCCTGACTGGATTATAATGCAGTTGTTAAGAATTAAATGCTGAAACTAACATCCTTTATTCAATTTAAGGTTACAAATAAAAATTATGTCAGATTCCTCTCTGGCTGGCAGCAAGAGAATAAACCGCATGTCCTTCTGTTTGACCAAATGCCCGTTGTACCACTGCTCTACAAGGTACTTTAGGTGCTGGGGTAATGTTTTCTCTTATTGTGGTGATTTTCTTTTTTGTGAGTAATAGCTCATCCCAAGAGAAATGCTTGAAGACCAGAAATTTGCTTTAACCACCGTACATTGAGGACCTACCGATGCTATTACTGTGCTAGTACTTGCCACACACATAATAGCATTTAATCTTCAGAAGAACCCAGGGATACAGATTATTATTCCTACTTTTACTGAAGCTTAGAGTGGTTATATAACCTGCCCAAGGTCTCCCGTGTTGAATATCGATTCCCTTGTAGCCTGTCTGATTCCAAACCTGCCCTCTGAATATGTACTTCTATCTAGCACACCTCTGGTTATCACTGTGACATGAGATGGGAGAGGAAGGTACTAAACCGTTGGCATGGTCACTGCCATCTTACATAATTAGGGTACAGGTAACTCCGCAAACCTCCCACCCAGTGCAGATCTCAGTAAGATGAATATCTTGCTCTGTCTGAAAAAAAGAATTAGTTGTTGTTTAGCTTTGTTGGTACGGTTTTTGTTCATGGAGCACCATAGAATTCCTACAAGGGTACGAGGGTGTAGCAAGCCTGAGTGGGGCTGTATAAGCTAGTGTTCATCTCCACCCACTGATGAGAATAAGTCACACTTAATTTAGATGCTGTGCTCTCAGTTTCATTTCTTCCTCTCTGTTATGCCCTAACAGTTGACTGCTTTCGCATATAAAGATTATTTGTCATTTGGATACGTGTATGTCGGTCTGAGAGGGGCGGAAGAGATGACAAGGCAATACAACGTCAATGTCTATGCCCCCACCATCCTGATCTTTAAAGAACACATACACAAGCCTGCAGATGTTATCCAGGTATGTGAGTGTCACCTTGTTTCAAGATGGCCCTCCCATTTTATCTCAGGGTGTCATATAAATAAAGAGTAAAATTGAGCACAGCAGGAGAGGAGAAGAAACTAGCTTTAATCTCTTCCTTTAGTGACTTCCCTGGCGGTCCAGTGGTTCAGACTCCGCACTTCCACTGCAGGGGTGCTGATTTGATCCCCTGGTCAGAAACTAAGATCACACATGCCTCGCAGCACAGCCAAAAAATTAATTAATAATTAACTAACATCACTGGAAAAAAAGAAAAAAACCCATAAACTAAGTTAAAGAACATACACTGAATATTTATCTGATCTTAAGATAGGGAAGGGCTAAAAACACGGGGGAAAATCTTGTTGGAAAATCTTAATAACTTGACTATAAGTTTTAAATTTGTATGTAAATACTTAAGAATTTTTGATTAAACAATAAGGGAAGTAATTACAACCAATATAAAAGGGATCATTATCTTCACTTTCTAATGAGCTTCTTATAATCAAGGAGATCAACCAAAAACTTCTTGAGAATGACCACTTGATGAGTACAGAGTTTGAGGGTGATGGAAATGTTTTGGAACTAGATAGAGATGAGGGCTGCACAACACTAAATGTACCAAATACCGCCAAATTGTACACTAAAATGGTCAATTTCATGTTATGTGAATTTTACCTCAATTTTTAAAAAATTTTTTAAAACTTCCCCCCCAAAACGAAATGAACAAAATCCTGAGAAGAGATTCAAGTGACGAATAAACACCTTTAAAAAAATAAATCACACTGATAATCAGAGAGAAAAGCAAAATAAACATTTTCTTCTCTCATCAAATTGTTAAAGATTTTTGAAGGAAAATTACTCAGGAGAGTTGAGACTACAGAGAAACAGGGACTTGTCTTTCTTGCCTTGCTAGAAGAAGCCTCAGAAGTTTTCAGAAAAGCGATTGGGTGATAAGACATCAACTGCCTAGCAGAAGAGCACTCCTGAGTACCTGCTGTGTGCCAAGCACTGCTTTCTGTGCTGAGGGTGCAGCCCTGGACAAGGTTGACAGAATTCCCCGTCCTGTGTTCTAGTGGGGACGACAGACAATCAGCATAACATACTCTGTCGTGGTATTTGTATAGTGATACGTGCCAAGGAGAAAAATAAAACAGGGAAGAGGAACGTAGGGTATTAGGGGAGAGGGCTCACATTTTTAAGGTGACACGAGGAAAGACCTGAGGGAGGTGAGATTACCTTTTAGGGCTCTATCCTAAAGGAATAGGGCAAAGAAGTACATACAGAGATGTTAAGTATCATTCGTAATACCAGAAATGAGGGGGAAATATAAACATATAAACGGCAGGATAATTATTGGTACATCCCAGAGACTATTATATAGCCATTTAAAATGGCAACTCGAGAAGAATACTTAATGATGGGGATAATTTTCCTAACATCATGTTACAGAGCAAGCAGGATGCAGAACTGTATATGCAGTTTATTCACGGACCTCAGTTTTGTAAAGTGAGTGCATGTGTGCATGTGTATGCACAGGAAAAAACTAGAAATAAATACATCAAAACATTAATGGTTATCTTTTGATGGCGGAATTAGGTATTATTTCAATATTTTGGTTTTCAAAAATCCCTATAATGGACATGTATTTTTTAATATTTTTAATGTTATTTTTTTTTTAATCGTCAAGAACCCTTTGATACTTTCTCTTATAGGAGGCTAGAACGAGAAGGAGAAATTCTCTAAAATCCTTTATCTCATTCATTCAGTACATTCACTGCCTGCCTGCTGAGCACTAAATACAGAACAGCTCCGACAGCCAGTTTAGTCTTCGTCCTCCTTTGACTCACAGTCAGGAGAGGAGAAAGACCGTCCACTGTAGTAGGTGTCTCACTAAGGTGTAGGGTTCCTCCGGGTGCCATGTGGACGTAGAAGGGGTCCTGAGACTATGGGACTAGGGTAGGGGTGTTGTGTGTGACAGAACCAGATGGGGAAAGTGGATAGTAAGGAAGGGAGAGCAGGTTCAAGAAGAAGGTAAGAAGAAGGTAATGAGTTCAGTTGTGGACCTAAGAATTAGAACTGCCTTCAGGAAACCCAAGGGGAGATGCCCATCAGGCAGGGCTCTAGTTCCAAGGAAAGGCAGAGGGGCTGGAATAGAGATTTGTGAATCGTCAGTGACTGGTTAGAGGGTGAGGTCTTTAGTGTGGGGAGATCTCGCAGGCATCGTATGTAAAGTAAGGAGAGAAGGCAGCCAAGGAGAAGACTCTGGACAATCACCAGCAAATAAAAAGAGGGGAGGGCTCCCCTGGTGGCGCAGTGGTTGAGAGTCCGCCTGCCGGTGCAGGGGACACGGG